TGGTCAGGATGTTCTGCCTAATGATCAGGTGGAATCTCATTTCCTGACATTTGAACCCACTGCTCCAAGTCCTAGTTTCTGGGACAAAAAACAAGCTTGCTCCCTCTTCCTTATGCCATCCTTAGATGTCATTATCAGTGGTGCAACTGGAGCAAATGTTCTACGTCTCTGTGTCTGCGGGGTTGTAAGCTACTGCTGGTACAACATGTACACACACATATACATCTTGTATCATGATGCTGTGTGATCAAATCCATGCATAATCAAACCTGCAAATGTTGAGGAACAACTCTACTCTCAGGTTTGGCCCCATTGCTTGGCTGCAGAGCAAAACACAGCTGCCATGTTCAATGGCACATTAGTTGGAAAATGGTGAGGAAAGAATGTAAGTAACCACTTTCTCTTTGGTCCAGAGCAGGACTGGCTGTGGTTTACCTTTCCGCATTGGAAATCCAGAACTACAGAAGCAGAGATTGCAAACTGGCACACAGCAAGATCTGTTTTCGGAACTGAACTCGTGCCACCCTAATCTAATCTCAACCCTTATATTTAATTACGGGTATTTACTGCAAACCATTAAAGTGTATACCTTCAGCTACCTTCATGTAATAAACAAATGCAAAACTACTGATTCTATTACTCTATCAGTAAAAGAGTGAGCTTTATATTTATTTATTTCATGTCAAAAGCATTGCATTAATAAATCAGTATAAAACTGATAAAGGGAACATAAACAGCTAAATAATTTTAGACCAAAGACAGGCAACTGTGACCGTATTGTCTATAGCTAGAAACTTTTCTTCCTCTGTGCATGAGGCAGGGCATTGTGGGCAAGCATACAGATGCTGAGTTGTTTGTTCTGCTCCACAGTTGCACAGGGTGGAGGATTCTTTTAATTAGTGTCATTTTGCCAGGTTGTATTTTGATCTGCCCACTCCGCTTCTGAGTCTGTTCAGGGACTTCCAAGTTTCCCATTCTTGGTTTGCCCCTGGAGGCAGACCATCGTGGGAGGCCATTCACTTGGGATTTCCTGGTTTAGCTGCCCAGAGGGACTCTTGCTGTTGCTGGGGGAACATTAAGAGAAGTGGTGGTCCTCATCAGGCCCGTAGCAAGGATTTTGATTCGGAGGGTGCTGAGTTTAATTTGGGGGGGGGGGGGGGGTAAGGATCTACCCTAGCAAACCTTTTGTATCATTATCCCAATACCCCCATGCATATGGGATATATTGAGCATGGTGATCTGATCATGACATGAATAAACATAACACTTTAAATAATGTACCAGTAAGGCCTTCTTGCGGACCACCCTGGGAATTGCCTGGTCCTCATGAAACTTTTCCTTGATTTGAGTCTATTGGAAGGAGACTGATAGTCACACAGTGAGTGTCTTTGACATTGTTTAGCCTTATTCCTGTAGTGATTGGCAGCAACCTCTCGTTGCACATGGGGGGGGGGGGGGGGTAATGCCAGCTAGCTTATAGAGCCTATCAGCAGATGTAGGTCTAAGACACCCTGTGATTATTCTACATGTTTCATTCAGTGCTATATTCACCTGAAGGTACAGGTAGGCAGTAGGTTATAAAAAAAGGAAAGGGTGAGAGGTATAACTGAATAAGGAACTGTTCTACCTTTAAGGAGCATGTATCACAGGAAGTTAAAGCAAGGTGAGAGGTAAATAAGTACAAGTGGGTTAAATGCTCAACTCAGTATGTGGCAAACTTTGGCCTACCAAGTCTTTTGGATTTGAACTCCCACAATTCCTAACTGCTGTAGTCCATCCCAATAGTCTCTGGTGTGACAATCAGAAGCAGAATCCCAATTTCTCTTCATCCTAGGACATTTTCGTACCTGCGTTATACAACAGAGGCTATTGTCTGATCTGCTCTTGCTGAACTTTGGGAAATGTAATTTAGGCAACCTCTCTAGCTGAGAATTCAAAAGGCTCTGCCCTGAACTACATTTCCCAGAAGTCTGTAGTAACAACTCCAACAACTGCCTCCATTCTATAACACTGGTGGTAAAATGTCCCTGGAGATTGCTGGAGAGAAAGGGTGGCAATATCAGTATGCTACACCCAGATCTAACCCCGGTGGCGCAGTGGGTTAAACCCCTGTGCTGGCAGGTCGCAGGTTCGAATCCGGGGAGAGACGGATGAGCTCCCTCTATCAGCTCCAGCTCCACATGCGGGGACATGAGAGAAGCCTCCCACAAGGATGATAAAACATCAAAAATCATCCAGGCATCCCCTGGGCAACGTCCTTGCAGACGGCCAATTCTCTCACAACAAGATGCTCCTGACACAACAACCCCCCCCCCCCAAAAAAAACAAAAACAAAACCCAGCAGCAGTTGTACAACCAGGGGCTTGAATGATTGTGGTAATGATCCCACAAACACAGATTCATAGAGACTGTGGATATTACAGACATCTAATTCTAGGTAATTCTAGGACTCCATAACTAAGATAGCGAACTCCAGCCTTTGTAAGGCACTACTTACATGCCCTGAATTTCATCTAGTTGTCTCTGAAATCCATGCCAAGGTGATGTGCTTCTGACCACAACATATCTTCCTATTTATCTATGTTCCTATTTATTTATGTATCTATCTTCCTATCTATCTGTCTATCTTCCTATTTATCTATGTATCTATCTATCTTCCTATTTATGTATCTATCTATCTTCCTATTTATCTATGTATCTATCTTCCTATGTATGTATGTATGTATGCATCTATCTATCTATCTATCTATCTATCTATCTATCTATCTATCTATCTATCTATCTACCTACCTACCTACCTATCTTCCTGTCTTCCTATCTATCTACCTTCTTATGTATCTATGTTCCCTTCTATCTATATTCCTATCTATCTGTCTTTCTATCTTCCTATCTATCTATCTGTCTGTCGATCTTCCTATCTATCTATCTATGTCTGTCGATCTTCTTATCTATCTATCTATCTATCTATCTATCTATCTACCTTCCTATCTATCTATCTGTGTCTGTCTGCCTGTCTATCTATCTTCCTATCTATCTGTGTATCTTCCTATCTACCTTCCTATGTATGTATCTTTCCTTCTATCTATATTCCTATCTATCTGTCTTTCTATCTTCCTATCTATCTACCTTCCTATCTATCGATATTCCTGTCTATCTATCTATCTTCCTATCTATCTTCCTATCTATCTGTGTATCTTCCTATCTATCTATCGATCTTCCTATCTATCAACCTTCCTGTCTGTCTATCTATTGATCTATCTGTGTATCTTCCTATCTACCTTCCTATCTATCTACCTTCCTATTTATGTCGATCTTCCTGTCTGTCTATCTATCTACCTTCCTATCTATCGATATTCCTATCTATCTATCTATCTATCTATCTATCTTCCTATATATGTATCTATCTTCATATCTATCAGTCTATCTTTCTATCTATCTATCTATCTATCTATCTATCTTCCTATTTACTTTCCTATCTGTAGTCTATCGGTCTTCCCATCTATCTATCTATCTATCTATCTATCTATCTATCTATCTATCTATCCATCCATCCATCCATCCATCTATCAGTCTGTCTATCTATCTATCTTCCTATCTATCTATCTATCCATCTATTTTTCCTTCCTTCCTTCCTTCCTTCCTTCCTTGATACCTATTCTGTCGCCGCTGGAGCTAAAATTAAATGCTTTAAGAGAGGATGCAAGGCTAGCGTCCAGCGGGAAGCCCGGGGCCCCAAGAAGGAGCCTTTAGAGGAACTTTCCCTATTAAGCAGGCTTTAGGAGACTTGGAGCTTAAATACAACAGTCTTTATTAATGAACAAGCAAGAATTGTAAAATTTCTAAATAGTCTATTGGCTTCTGCAGTCTTGTTTGCAGGAAACAGGCACTATCTTCAAGAAAACTTTAACAGAAAAATTCCCCTTTAAAGCTCCTCCCAAGCTGCTGTGAACTTAAACCTAACTGGTTTGAGTCTGCTACCGGCTGAACTGCGTCTCAGAACCGAACAGACGTACCATCAGGCTTGAAATCACTTAGCTGAAGATGAAGAGCTGTTATTCCCTCCGGAGGTCCTCAGGGCTGTGAAGCTGTTCCCTGGAACCCTTTGGGAATCTGTAGAGGCCTTTAATCTGTTCTTCCCCAGGAAGTCTTAAAAGACGAAGCTTTTGCACAGGAGGAATGTCTGTGTGCATCCTCTGCCTTGGCTTCTCTTGCTGTAACTAACTAAAAATGGCCCTTTCCCTCCAAAAAGCAAAAAAGGGGGCGGGACCAGGGATCCTAACTATAATTACAGGTGGCTTGCCCTATGATTGCAGCCAAAAGAAGCCACCTATCTGCAGGGTCCCTGAAACTTAGGACTGCAATAAACATTAAATGCAAAAGCAAACAGAAATGGAGCTCCTGGTACAGCTGTACCAGCACAATACCAAGCTTCCCTCCATGCTCCAGCCAGGCAAGAGTGTCTGCATTGCGTTTTCTGTTAAAACCACTATGGGGCAAACTTGGGCCCAGGCAGGCTGTTAGGAACTGTGGGAGCTGAGGTCCAAAAACCCCCGAAGTTTGCCCAGGCTTAGCCTAGGCCAAGCATGGTCAAACTTGAGCCCTCCTCCTTCCAGGTGTTTTGGACTTCAACTCCCACCATTCCTAACAGCCTCAGGCCCCTTCCTTTTCCCCCTCAGCCGCTTAATCTTAAGCTTACATCTACACGCTTAAGCGGCTGAGGGGGAAAAGGAAGGGGCCTGAGGCTGTTAGGAATGGTGGGAGTTGAAGTCCAAAACGCCTGGAAGGAGGGCCCAAGTTTGACCCTGCCTGGCCTAGGCCTAGCCCTTGGCTTCTAGACTCTGTCTCTGTGAAGGAAGGAGACGCATGACGTCACTCTCTCTCTCTCTCTCTCTCTCTCCCTGGGAGCCGGAGTCCAGACGGTGGGCGGGGCTTGGCGGCGGCGGCGGGGCGCGCGTGCGCGTTGCCGTGGCCGGGTTCGTGCCCGCGCGCCGCCTCGTCTCCATCACGTCCTCCTCCTCCTCCTCCTCCTCTGTCTCTGTCTCCGCAGTGAGGTCACGGGGAGGCGGCGCGTCGTCAGACAGACGGAGACGGAGAGAGAGAGAGAGAGGGAGACGTCGGTCCCTCCGTTCGAGCTCTCTCGCCCAGGACAGGAGGGGGGTCAGGTCACTCTGAGGTAAATCTGCGGGGAAAGGGAAGCCAGCCGGGTTTCAACCCCTGCCTGTGTGGAGGATATTCTGTGTGTATCCCTGACTCGGAAAGGAGGAGAAAGGTCTCCTGTCTGCTGGGCTTGGCTGGCGGCGTGAAGGGGAGGAGGAGGAGGAGGGATTGCTCCTTCGTGTGTGTGTCTTTTTCGGTGAGGAAGGCCTTGTCCGTGTGTGTGTGTGAGGGGGTACAGCTTATGAATATGCATGAGGAGGGGGTACAGCTTATGAATATTCATGAGGGGTACAGCTTATGACTATTCATGAGGGGAAGAGGAGGCTGGGCTTGAGCCCCTTTCCCACAAGCAAGGGAGGCCAATATAGTGTTATTTCTCATTATTGTTATTATTATATCTTATCATTACTATATTTATTACTATCTCTTATTGTGTCTTATTATTGTCTCTTATTATTACTATTAATATCTCTTATTATTATTATCTCTTATTGTTATATCTCTTTATTATTATTATAATATCTTATTACTATATTTATTATCTCTTATTATGTGTTATTATTATCTCTTATTATTACTGTCATTATTATCTCTATTATTATTATTATATCTTATTACTATATTTATTATCTCATATTATGTCTATTATCTCTTATTATTACTGTTATTATCTCTTATTATTATTATCTCTTATCATTGTTATATCTCTTTATTATTATTATATCTTATTACTACTATATTTATTTATTATCTCATATTATGTCTTATTATTATCTCTTATGTCTTATTATTGTCTCATTATTATTGTTATATCTCTTTATTGTTATTATATCTTATTACTACTATATTTATTTATTATCTCATATTATGTCTTATTATTATCTCTTATGTCTTATTATTGTCTCTTATTATTATTGTTATATCTCTTTATTATTATTATTATATCTTATTACTACTATATTTATTTATTACCCCATATTATGTCTTATTATTATCTTATTGTTATATCTCTTTATTATTATATCTTATTACTACTATATTTATTATTATCTATTATTATGTCTTATTATTGTCTCTTATTATTACTGTCATTATTATCTCTTTATTATTATTATAACTTATAACTTATTATTATCTCTTATTGTGTCTTATTATTATTTCTTATTATTACTGTTATTATCTCTTATTATTATCTCTTATTATTGTTATATCTCTTTATTATTATTATATCTTATTACTATGTTTATTTATTATCTCATATTATGTCTTATTATTGTCTCTTATTATTACTGTTATTATCTGTTATTATTATCTCTTATTATTATTTCTTATTATCTCTTATTTATTACTTTTATTCTATTATTATTATATCTCTTTTTTATTATATCTTATTACTACTATATTTATTTATTATTTCTTATTATTTCTTATTATCTCATTATTTCTTTAATTCTTTTTATTATAATTTCTTCTTATCTCTTATTATTACCATTATTATATTTATATATCTTTATCCTGCTTTCTATTATCTCTTATTATTATTTCTTATTATTTCTTTTATTCTTTTTATTCTGATTTCTTCTTCTTATCTCTTATTATTATCTATTATTATTATTATTACCATTATTATATTTATATATCTCTATCCCGCGTTCTATTATCTTTTATTATTATTTCTTATTATCTCTTATAATTTCTTAAGCTTTATTTTCTTTTTATTATAATTTCTTCTTAACTTTTATTATTATTACCTCATTATTATTATTATTACCATTATTATATTTATATGTCTCTATCCCGCTTTTAACTCGATTGGGCTTGGGTTAAGATCTCTTACTATTATTATTTCTTCTTATTATCTCTTATTATTTCTTACTATTCTCTTATTGTTATAATTTCTTATTATCTCTTACTATATTATCTAATTATTATGTCTTATTATTGCTTATACTTATTATCTTATTGTTATATCCTATTATCTCTTATTTGTATTATTATTTCTTTTTCTTCTTCTGACCATTATTATATTTATATGTCTCTATCCCACTTTTATCTTGATTGAGATTGGGTTATTATTTCTTATTATTATTTCTTATCTTATTTCTTACTATTATTCTGTTATTATTGTCTCTTATTATTATCTCTATATTTCTTACTATTGTTCTCTTATTATTGTAATTTATTCTTTTAATTTCTCTTATTAATATATCTTATCTTTTATTGCTATTCTCTTTATGTCTTATTCTTATTTAGCTTTATTCTTATTATATCTTATAATCTCTTATAATTATCTATTAATATTATGACCATCATCATATTTATGTCTCTATCCCGCTTTCTATTATCTCTTATTATCTCATATTATTATTTCTTACTATTCTCTTATTATAATTTCTTCTTATTATCTCTTATATCTTATTCTCTTATTATGTCTTATTCTTATTTTCTCTTATTCTTATTACATTATATCTTTTCTCTTATTCTTATTATATTATATCTTTTCTCTTATTCTTATTATATTATATCTTTTTATCTCTTATTCTTATGACCATTATTATATTTATATGTCTCTATCCTGCTTTCAATTATCTTATTATTATTTGTTCTTATTATCTCTTATTATTTCTTACCATTATTCCCTTATAATTTCTTCTTATTATTTCTTATTATTATCTTTCCTTATTATTATGACCTTTATTGCATTTATGTGTCTCTATCCCGCTTTTATCTCGATTGAGATTGGAAGGCGAGAGGAGGGGGGAAGGCAGGAAAGAGGGGATTACGCCTTTAAAGCCTCCTTCCCCTTTAAAATCCGGGGGGGGGGTCGTTGTGTTGGAGGGAGCACCTTTAAAGACCCCCCCCCCCCTCCATCCAGGAAGATTGCTTGGTTTGAATAGGAAGGCAAAGAGGGTTGTTTCTTAGGTCAGAAAGGAGAGAAAGACTCTCCTTTAAAGCTTTAAAGGCCTTCCTCTCTCATGGGAGAGGGTCTCTTGGTTGGGATTGCGCCTTTAAAAAACCCCCTCCCGTCCCTCTTCTTCTTCCATCCAGGGTTTGGGTCGGAGGGCGCTTTTCAACCCACCCACCACCCCTTTATTTCCTCCTCCTTGTTCTCCTTCCCTCCCTCCTTCCTTCCTCCCTCCCTCCCTTGGCCTCCCTTGTGTCTGCTGCTGCTGCTGCTGCCTCTGCTAGACTTAACCTTCCTCACCTCCCTTTGGGGAGGGAGGAGCGTCTGTAGCACAGCAGGCCCGTCTGAGACGGCGGCGGCGGGGAGGAAGGGAAGGGAAGGAGTTGAGTTCAGGGCAAAGAAGGGAAATTCCGGGGGAGGGAGGGGGGAGGAAGGAGGCCGCCGCCGGGCTCTGGCTTCTAGGGTTTCACTTCCCAAAAAAAGCCAAACACTCAGCCATTTGAAAGAGAGGCAGAGGAGCTTCCAGCGTCTGTCTGGAATTATTATTATTTGAGGTTTGATTTGGGTCCAGCTGATCATTCTCTGCAGAGCAGACTCAGTCCCATTGAGGAGGATCTAGTACAGAGACTTTAAGGAGATTCAAGGACAGAGAATGCGACGAGTCTTCAAGGGAGGGTCTAGTACAGAGCCACTTTTGAAGGAGAAGGTGCCTCTGAGCATACATAGAATTCAAAAACAGCGAATGTGATGAGTCTTCAAGGGAGGGTCTAGTACAGAGCCATTTTCAAAGGAGAAGGTGCCTCTGAGCATACATAGGATTCAAAGACAGAGAATGTGAAGAGTCTGCAAGGGAGGGTCTGGTACAGAGACTTTTGAAGGAGAAGGTGCCTCTGAGCATACATAGGATTCAAAAACAGAGAATGTGAAAAGTCTGCAAGGGAGGGTCTAGTACAGAGCCACTTGAAGGAGAAGGTGCCTCTGAGCATGCGTAGGATTCAAAGAAAGAGAATGTGATGAGTCTGCAAGGGAGAGTCTAGTACAGAGCCACTTGAAGGAGAAGGTGCCTCTGAGCATGCGTAGGATTCAAAAACAGCAAATGTGATGGGTTGGCAAGGGAGGGTCTAGTACAGAGCCACTTTTGAAGGAGAAGGTGCCTCTGAGCATACATAGGATTCAAAGACAGAATGTGATGGGTCTCCAAGTGATTGTCTGATACAGAGCCACTTTTGAAAGAGAAAGTGCTTCTGAGCATACATAGAATTCAAAGACAGCGAATGTGATGAGTCTTCAAGGGGGGGGGTCTAGTGCAGACCCACTTTTGAAGGAGAAGGAGCCTCTGAGCATACATAGGATTCAAAGACAGAGAATGTGATGAGTCTGCAAGGGAGGGTCTAGTACAAAGACTTTTGAAGGAGAAGTGCCTCTGAGCACACATAGGATTCAAAGACTGTGTGATGAGTCTTCAAGGGAGGGTCTGGCACAGAGCCACTTTTGAAGGAGAAGGTGCCTCTGAGCATACATAGAATTCAAAGACAGAGAATGTGATGGGTCTGCAAGGGAGGGTCTAGTACAGAGCCACTTTTAAAGGAGAAGGTGCCTCTGAGCATACATAGGATTCAAAGACAGAGAATGTGATGAGTCTGCAAGGGAGAGTCTAGTACAGAGCCACTTTTGAAGGAGAAGGTGCCTTTGAGCATACATAGGATTCACAGACAGAGAATGCGATAAGTCTCTAAGGGAGTGTCTAGTACAGGGATCCTCAAACTTTTTAAACAGAGGGCCAGGTCACAGGTCCCGCAAACTGTTGGAGGGTCAGATTATAATTTGAAAAAACCTTGAATGAATTCCTAAGCACACTGCACATATCTTGTTTGTAGTGCATTAACACTTAAAAAAACATGAAGAACAATTAAAAAATATAAACTTATTAGTATTTCAATGGGAAGTGTGGGCCTGATTTTGGCTGATGAGATAAGATTGTTGTTGTTGTTATTGTTATTGTGTGCTTTCAAGTTGTTTCAGACTTAGGTTGACCCTGAGCGAGGGCCAGGTAAATGACCTTGGAGGGCCGTATCTGGCCTTCGGGCCTTAGTTTGAGGACTCCTGGTCTAGTACAAAGCCACTTTTGAAGGAGAAGGTGCATCTAAGAATACATAGGATTCAAAGATAGAGAATGTGAAGAGTCTGCAAGGGAGGGTCTAGTACAGAGCCACTTTTGAAGGGGAAGGTGCCTCTGAGCATACATAGGATTCAAAGACAGAGAATATGATGAAGGATCTTCTACCACAGGCATGGGCCAACTTCACCTTTCCCTCAAGGTATTTTGGACATCAACTCTCACAATTCCTAACAACCGGTAGGCTGTTAGGAATTGTGGGAGTTGAAGTCCAGAACATCTGGAGGGAGGGCCAAAGTTGGCCCATGCCCATACTGGTACATTTAAAATATTTTCTGGTTTTCATTTACAGTAGAGTCTCGCTTATCCAACCTTCGCTCATCCAACCTTCTGTATTATCCAACACAGTCTGCCTCCTGCCCGGATCCACAGCTATTTCAATGCATTATGATGTTTTGGTGCTAAATTCGTAATTACTACATAACATTATCATGTATTGAAAATACCATGTATTTTCTGTCAATTTGTTGTAAAACATGGTGGTTTTGTGCTTAATTTGTAAAATCATAATGTAATTTGACGTTTAATAGGCTTTTCCTTAATTCCTTCTTATTATCCGACCTTTTTGCTTATCCAACTTTCTGCTGGCCCATTTATGTTGGATAAGTGAGACTCTACTGTATCTCTTTTTCTCCCACTGTAGGGACTCAAGGTGGCTCACAAATAAATATGAAATAAATGCAAATTGCGTATATGTACTAAAACATAAATAGAGCTTTGAAAATATTAATCGTTTTTGTCATTAAAACTATTTAAAGGCATAAAAATTCCGCACCCACTCCAAAAATCTCAATTGCACTGTCCCCAACAGCACACCTCTAGTCAGTTCCGAAATATCTGCAATCATGGATAGGGCCATCCGGGGGCCCTTCCACACAGCCCCTATATCACAGGATCTGTTTATCCCAGGTTATCAGGCAGTGGAGACATATATAATTCATTTTAAAGCAGGTAATATAGGATCAGATCCTAGGATACAGGGCAGTGTAGAAGGGGCCTTGGTCTCTCAGAGTTTCAGGGGCCCATTCCACACAGCTTTATAAAATCCACATTGAACTGGATTATATGATGGTGTGGATGCAGATAACCCAGTTCAAAGTAGATATTGTGGATTATCTTCCTTGATATTCTGAGTTTATATACCTTTTCCAAATTACTTTATGTGTTTATAAAACCAGGTATGCTTTGGCTTTATGGTAAACTCGGAAAAGTGTCCCCCAAGTACGCCTTCTGTCTCTGTGCTGTACAGAGAGGGAATTGTGGGGGTGAGCTTTCAGGGAAGTTTGTTTTCCAACTTCTAATTGAAAATCCCTCCTGTGTTTCAGGTTTTCCTGAAATACAGTTTTTGAACCACTGCTTTAAGAGAACAGGATCTGAGAGGGAGGCAATTAGACTGTCATAGGAAACCTTAGTTAGTAATTTGTATATAGGTGTGCAGCATAAGATAATTACTGTAAGGTGCAGTTTGAGGTAGAATTTTGTGAGATATTTTTGCACTGGAAGTTCTGCATCAAGGTCATTTGAGTAGGTGATAGTAAGGGAAATTATTAGTTATGAAGATCTGTGTAGATATAAATTAGATTTTTTTCTGTGGTTTTTCACAGCACTAGGAGGAGAATGTCAGTGTTAAAGGATATGGTTTCAGGAAGTGGAAAGATAGAATTGTCTTGTTTTGGTATGCAATTGGAGAAGGAGAATATGTTGAATTCATATTAGTAATGGGAAATGAAAGTTGAGTTTTGAAACCAGCTGCAGTAGAGCTTTTAGTGCCAAAGATGGATTCCCCCCCCCCCCCCAAGAAATATTAACAGAAACCTTGAATGGAACAGTAAAGGAAAAGTGTAACTCTGGTGAAAAGCAATTCCAGTATTTTATAGTAGAGATGATGTGGGAAAAGGACTTATATAATTGGAATTTTATCTAACTCTTTATTTTTAACAAGAGATAGAAATTGCTGTTAATGTCAAATGAGTGTGGTTGGATTACAAATTCCTATTTGAATGTGGCAGGTTTGAAAGGATTACAGTACCTTTTGATTTTCTCAAATATCTCCTAATGAAGTGTAGGTTTGACTTCTTTATATTCTATAAATCTAAGATTACTTCCTGCATATGTAAATCAACAATTGTTTTGCAAATAATGGACATTTTTGTCCATCAGTCATATTCTTTTCAAGCAACTTCCCTCACATGCAGATTAATAGGGTTCTTAAATGGCAATACAGAAAAAGGCAGAGATATGTCCCTGGTGATGAAGATTTCATGTGTGTGGCGTGTGAAACCATTAAGATTATGGATTTGAAGGAAATGGAGAAAGAAATATTGGATCACATAGATACAAGTAGTTTAGAGTAGTACACTGGCAGAAGAAAAAGTGGGCATGACTTCTGCAGCATGTCATTGAGTAACAGGCTTACTTCATTCAGATTTTGCATACCTTCAGATTAGTATAAAGACTGATGGATTGTCCTATTAACAGGTGCATGTGGAGAGAAGTTCCTGAGCCACTTGAATTCTGTTTAGTGTTTAGCTAATCTCAGAAACTATATTTCATGAAAGTCAGACCCTCATAATATTAACTGAATAGTTGGCACATTAAAAGAGTTGAGATAGAAAATAATCAAAACAGAGGAATGTGCACAGATGGATAGATGAAGTAGACAGCATGGGGAACAGAAAGAAGTATAAATACACATCTCACTCACCCAAGGGCTAATCCTAGATGGGGTGGGTGTGTGGTTAGGAGGGAAAAATAGAATAGGAAAAATAATTTAAATATTTAAAATTTCCTCATTTTGTGCCAGTATAGATATATATTAAGCTATTAATATCAATGTATTTCTAACTGATAATTATTTCTTTGTTTTTCTTTCCCAATTTAGATTCTATGAAAGGATGAACAGAGAAATGAATTACTAGCCCAAGAAGTTTATTTTGCTGATGACTGGGATCGTGCTTTTATTAAAAGAACAATGGGATTCACAATGTCTATGTTCATGCATATAATTGCAGCCAACACAGTGGGATCAGTTTCCAGTAACAGATTTATTGGTGAACAAATATTGATGCTGTTGGAGGTGGACATTTTTATGGCTCAATAAGTAGAGATTTTTACCTATGATATTAATAATAGCAGGAATCCTCTATAGAAACCTACATTTCCTTTATCGTCTAGAAGCATAATTTTGAAATATGTATGTCTCAGGCTGTAAGCACATTAGCACTTGCGTATTTTTATGTTCAGTTAAAAGAAAAATCGAAGAGCCTGCATGCCTGTAAAATAAAAATCTTTAGAGTTAGGCTTCATATTTTTCGGTTGGATTAAACCATTCAGTTATTTTTGAGACCAGTGATTCAAAGGTTCAAGTAAAATCTTTTTTGTATATAAATCGAGTTTTACATTTTTAAAAAATTTGTCACACTGAAAAGTGTTCTTAAGTGACAAAAGTTCCTGTATGTAAGGGCTATGTTACTAAATGTAAAGTGGTGAAAATACCAGTATAAGTGGTATTGCATGTTTACTGCAATGAAAGTAGCTATACTGAAAAAAAGTGAAATCGAGATTTGAACAAACTGTGATCAGATTTCATATTCACGTATTTTTAAAATAGCCATGGAAACTGCAAAGATAAATTACTCCTTGGGTCACTCAAAACAAAAGGGGAGCATAATACATGAAGATGACAGCCCTCCAACCAAAAAAGCAATGACAGAAACACATCTAAAGGATACAATGCAAGCCATGATGCATAAATTGTCAACAATAAAAAAGGAACAGTTGGATGAATGTGAAGAACATCTTATGGAGGACAATGAGGAATGTGCCAAACCAAACATTGCTGCAGTACCTGAGCCTTTGAACTTAAATCCTGGTTTGAAGCATACATTGGCACAGTTCCATTTAAGCAGCCAGAGTTCATTGGGTGGCCCAGCAGCATTTTCTGCTCGCCATTCTGAAGAAAGCACATCTTCCGTCTTCGTACCTCTTCCATCACCCCAGATCCTTCCTGGTCCATTGCTTGTTCCTTCAGACAGCTCTACAGAGTTGACTCAGACTTTACTGGAAGGGGAGTCTATATCTTGTTTTAAAGTTGGAGGAGAAAAAAGACTTTGTCTGCCTCAAGTCTTGAATTCTGTTCTCCGTGATTTTTCTCTACAGCAGATTAACACAGTGTGTGATGATCTTTATATCTACTGCTCTAGGTGCACTTCTGACCAACTTCACATTTTAAAGGTTTTGGGAATTCTTCCATTTAATGCTCCATCTTGTGGGCTGATAACACTGACTGATGCTCAGAGACTATGCAATGCTTTACTGCGCCCTCGCACTTTCCCTCAAAATGGCAGCCTGCTTCATGGTAAAGGTTCGCTGATCCAACTAAAAGAGACTGGAAGTGCCTTTGAAGTAGAGCATGAATGTTTGGGCAAGTGCCAGGGTTTATTTGCTCCACAGTTTTATCTTCAGCCAGATTCTCCTTGTATCCAGTGTTCCGAATGCTATGGGATGTTTTCACCCCAAACATTTGTGATGCATTCTCATCGCTCTCCTGACAAGAGGACCTGCCATTGGGGCTTTGAATCAGCCAAGTGGCATTGCTATCTCCATATTAACCAAAAATATCTTGGAACATCAGAGGAGAGAGATTTGAAGCTTCTCTTGGAAGAAATGAAAGAAAAATTTAGCACGAAAAGTCAGAAAATACACCAATCTAAAGTAAGTTTGTTTATGCTTGTAAAATATTCACATACAATTAATATTAGATACTGCTTTAAAGGCTAAGATCCTATTGATTGTCAGTGGTGTTGAAAACTCTATTAACATAGCATGTGTTTTATCTCCTTTATGTTTTATGCAAGTAGAAAAAAATTTGTAGTGCAAGCAGTTTAACTCACTAGAATGCTGGCTAAAATATTTTAAATGTATGCTTTATAAATGTATTCTTGTCCCTTTGAAGTTTTTTTTAATTAAGTGCTAGCAGGAAATCTTAGCAAATCAGAACAAACATGGAAAAAATAACACCTTAGTTCTGAAAAGCTGTTATAAGCAAATGGATATGGAGTTTTAAGTCCTGTTTTCTAGCCTCTTTATGACTATAGTACATCAGTTAATATGTAATGAGCTGGGTTTTTTTTTTTTAAGCACACCTATTTAGTTTTGCTTTCGATATAATGATAATTAAATACCTATAATAAATAGCTACTGTGGGGACAGTAAAGATCCAGGCCTGGCTGTTCTTTTCAGAGTGTAAGAATGAAGGTATGATAAAGGGAAGGACAAGGTGAAGGAAGAAAAGACTCTTGTCACAGAATATATGAATAAAAATTCTTGAGACATTTCTTAATAACATGACTGAAGGAATCATTGAAGTGCCACATGATATAGAGTTCCTTATGTAAGCCATGGCAAAGAAAAATAAAGATTAGGATGGAGAATAGGGCTTATTGCACCTAAACCTAAAGACCAAAGGAGAGATTCATATGATGTCTTTGCTATGTTATGATATTACTTATACAGCATTCATTAAAAGCCTATAATTGTCTTGTCTGCTATGATTAATATCATTATGGATTGTAAAAGCACAATATCCCATCATAGTCATAGACTATGATCTCTGGTTCTTTCCAAGCTTTCACTGCTTGATCCCCTTTAAACTGGAGATACCAGAGGTTTAAAGTGATCTTTTTGAATTTTATCATTGTTTCGTGGACCTTCTTCTTAAATTGATAGCTATTCTAACAATGACTGAATCTTAAATACTTGAATATTTTATTAAATTTTGAAGTATCTGTTGAATAATTGTGACCTTAAGTACACTGACTAGATAGTTGAGCGTCGTGCAGTACTTGTACCTTCAGCTCTTCAGTTCTAATTTGTATGGGTGTTTATTGCTGATCATCTGACAGGCTCACACTGGAACACTTACTTGAAATATTACGTAAGGCTATGTAGTTTTTCAAAATGCTGATTTGTGGTGGATATGTTCATGACAGGATGTGCATATACCTTACTTTTTATCATTTTCCTTTCCTGCTTGCTGCATGTTGTTTTGCTGCATTATATGATATTCTGGAGGGTGCCCTCAAATGCTGTGTTTTGAAGGTCATAGACAGTTGCAGTGGGAATAAAATCTTATTCTTGAGTAGAATTCCTCAGGGAGAAATGACAAATACAAGGCACAATAAATGGTCTTGTAATACCTCCCCCCCCCCCCCAAATATGTAGCAAGATTTTGTGTGCTCTTGCACACTCTTTTTCATTGTTGCAGGTTCTCATTACTACATTATAGGATATTTGTGTAATGCAGGGGTGGGTAGATTTAACAGGGCAGGGGACAAATTTTCATCTCCAGTGACTGCTGCAGGTCACAGCAAGCAAACAGGAAGTAAAAGCAAAATAGATAAATCATAAGTAGCTTGACATTTTTGTTCTGATTTTGATTTGTTGGGTTTCAACTTGTTCAAAGGCTTCCAAGAAGCCTCCTTTGAATTTTTCTCCTGTAGGACCATACTTGGGCCATACTTTGCCCACAATTAGTGTAATTTACCAGGTAAATGCTCCTATAATTACAAACATGCCCTACTAGATTTGGAATCTGTGTGACTTAGGAGGAGCTTGGACTGGAGAGAAGTTAGCAAGTTCTCTGTCATATGTGGACCTTTTGAGAAACTGAGAGTTTATGAAATAAAACAAGATTAGAAAATGTAAGCAAGTTTGCATGAAAGCGTATGCAAATAAGGGCATGTGTTTATTTTTTATTAGTGGCTATATCAGTAACGGTAAAAGTTGAATATTTGGGGCAGTGGTTTGAATATGTGATATGTTTTGTAAAAGATCACCAGATCATTCTATACATTGGTCAGTTGTAAAAATCTTAGGGGGCAGAGTGAGAAGATCCATAACTAAACAGAGCTACAAGAGACGGTCTAGTTTTGTATATGGCAGCTTTACATGTTCATGTAATGAAAGTAGCTTCAGTCAATGAAACAAAGCCTATATTGAGATTTCAAAATGAAACCTCAACATATTTCAGCCTTTGAAGAGCATGGGAATTCTCTCCACCCTACATTTATTTACATTCTTTCACATCCTGTGTTTGCTGTTCAGGTTGGGGAGAATAGGCTTTAAGATGTGCGTAATACTTTTGTGTTTCTTTACATGGGTCATGGCAAGTTCTCATTCATGGGAAATATCAATGAACAGTTTTTTGTTCACAATTTTAAGGTTTGTTTTCAGTTGTGGATACATATATAGTGAACTTTCTACATGATGCATGTTTCTGGTATGTGTTGATTGAAAACTTCAAAATGAAATGAGCATTCATATTTTGTATATTTTGTTGAAAAGAGGCAGAAACTCAGAATAGTTCATAACAGACAAAGGTTTAATTGACTGTTAAGGAAAAGGCACTAACCTAATGATGTCCAATTATTCCATTGTTGAAATACTATTTAATTTTAAGATTTGAGAGAGAACACTGCCTAGTCACTACAGTCTTCATTTGTTGATGTATTGCTTTTCAGCCATTATAATTGTATACAAATGATGCAGAACAGATACCATGGTAATATTTTTCAAGATCAACTTTTGAATTTAGAGATGGGCTATTTTTTACATTGTCTGTTCATTGCAGGATCGTAGCACAATAAAACAGTAAAAAAATAGAGATCATATGACGTCTGATCTTGAAGAGACGGCCCACCCATGGATTACTCATTTGCTATCAAAGATAAAGCTTTAAATTAGTGTTGGCCACATATCCGTGTTTGAGAGCTCACTTGTTTAGCTCCAGGTACACATCCTAGGAAGCAGCTGAACTTGTTACGGCAACAGTAGCAATAAATTTTCCCAGCTTAATCAGGTTTATGTACTCATTAATTATGTAGCCAATTTTCTTCCTATTCAGTCATAGTACATACTTGTTTAAAATAATATAGTTCTAGGAATGTAAACCAATAAACATTATTTTGGCTTCCCTAAAAGAAAACAATATATTGTTGCCTGAGGCTTATAAATGACCTCATTAACATCTCATTGCAGTCTTGCAGTGTGGCTTATGAAGGGCTATGTATTACCAAAATGTTGTGCTGCTTTTACATATTCCTGTATAAATACAGATGACCTTTTCAGAAGCCTTCACAATCTCAGTTTTAATGAATGATTTGTGGGAAGAGAAGGAAGTTAGATAAGTACGGGGAGACTGTTATGAGTCTGTGGTTTTGTTGATGCTCTAATATCATTATCCTCAATATTTTAAGAGTTTTGGCCTGACTTCCTAATGAGCCTCTTCAATTTTGTGAAAAATATATTAAATTACATTTTCAGATAATTGCATTCAAGTCTCATTTTACGCATGGAATGGTACTTGATTAGTAATGAGTGATGACCTCAAAATATGGAAGCAATTTAAAACTAAGGACCTTATCTATCTCTTGTCCACATATGCTATAGATCCTGAGAAAGGTCATATTCATTTACCTACTTCCCTCCTGTTTGCGGTTAGGGGTGGGGAGGTGAGTAGGCATGTGATCAACAATACAATCTCAAGGTTCTTGTGGGTTTTTTCGGGCTTTAGAGCCATGTTCTAGAGGCTCTAGATACAATCTCACTTTTTAAAGACCAGGAAAGGCCATGGTTAGCAGAAGTTTAGGTATGTGAAACTTCTTGAGCATCTTCCTAATGCCTGTTGTCTTCAATTATTTTCTTTATTTATTGCATTTGTATGTTGCCTTTCCCTCACAGTGGGACCAAGACAGCTTCCAAAACAATTAATAGAAATAAAAGAAGCTTTGTAGAGAGGCAATCACATTTAAATATGAATGGCATAATTCTTCCTCTTCCATGATAGATACGACTGAATATGTGCAAAATGCAAAGCAATGATGTTCTGATCTCTTGGGCATAATTATGAACCCGAAAATAATTATACATCTGATCACTTTAGTGTCTTCAAATGGTCCTTGCTTTGCCTGATTACCTTTTGAACTCTGGCTTCTTCAGAATCAGAAGTACTTATATTTTATGTTATCTCCTATCTACAGAATCCCACTCTTCCCTGTAGTGAGAAGTTCTAGAAATAGAATGTAAATTCTCTTTAAGCTTTTGTAACACACACACACATATACACACACACATATATAAAAAGGAACATCTCTGTTTTACATGCTAACTGCAGAAAGAGCCTGCTGTTTCAGCAGTGCTTCTAACACTTCTAAGATGTGAAAAGTGAAGTAGCAGGTGTACTTAAATCTTTTTGAGATTCTGGGGGTCTCCACATTTTGAAGAGGAAAATGACTAAATTGTGGTATGAGAAGTGAAGGGTTGTGAAGGAATGCTACGCTGAAATGAACTATTCCCGATTCTGGCTTTGGCTAAACGAGGAGGGAGAATTTTTTCAAAATTTAGTTGCTGAAGAAGTAAGAAAAGGGCACACAAAAATAAGTTTGACAAGATGCAGAAGATTGTTGATTGCAACAGTAATGGCCTGCTGTGATTTGTATTTCTATCATTGACTGGTTGCAAGATACAAGGTTAATATATATAGGATTTAGTGTTATATCTTAGCTTGCTTGATTTGCAGAGTCTTATACAATTAAAATATTTTAATACTTCAAAGAAAATTACAATCAAAGACACAAAATGAACAACAACAACAACACCTGGATTTAAAACCATCAGTACATCTATGTAGTTATTTTTGATTGTACAATATTCTATCCAGAAGTGAACGAAGACAGAGTGATCTATTTCCTCTTTTTCATCTTGCTGGGTTCTCATTTTTCCAAGACCAGAATAGAAATGGCAGCTATTATATCCTTGGCAGGCCAGTATAATATTGACAGCAGCAGAAACAACAGTCACCTATGTGGGTTTATTTACAAGGATGTAGTTAGACATTACTGATAAAAGACAGATTTTACAAAAGAGCTTTACAATTCATTCAAAGCTTCTCAGTCATTTGGGAGACTGCCAGGGAGCTCATTGCAGAATTATCAGAGATATACTCTACTCCTTTTACACACACATTAACCTACATAAACCTACATGCTTAGTTACTTGAACTGTTGCTGTCCATTTCTTCTGTTCAAACCTATCCACCTGTCTGCACATGAACACATTTTTCAATTGTGTTTACTTTTGTAGTTGGATAAGATATCCATAGTGTTCTCGTGAGGATGAGTGAGGTTGCAAATAGGAAGTATTAAGTACTAACTTTCTTTAAGTAGACTTAATACTTATTCGAACTAAACAAAGTACCTCACAAACAAAGAATATGCCAGCAATGTTATGATGTTATCCTATTTCACTGTTCTGTTGACAGACTCTGTCACACTACATTTGTTTCACAATGAAAAAGCCACAGGATGTGTATTCTTCAAGATAACTATTTTTTCATTGATTGGTAAAACTGAAGATGTGCGACTTTTTTCCTGTTGATGATGTGTTCTTGGTTTGTAATTTATTCTTTTCTCCTGTGGAATTTAATGAAGTCCAGGAAGTATAGCAGCATACTTCCTTCCAAACAGATTTCTTAAAGTTGAAATGGTATATAATAAAAGAAATATTCTTCTCCTTCTCCTCCAGGCTGATTCTCAATATAACCTAGACCTTCAACAGTGGTATCCAGTTATAAAGCAAGAGACCGATTCCATCAATCAGCCGCACTCATTCATGCATCCCAGGTAACCTGTCCAGATATCCGACCAGTTGTTGCACATCTTACCATTATGTTTTAATTGCTCGTCGATGTTAGCTAAATATTTGGGGGTGTATTTCTAAAAATGCATGTGTGGTTAATTGAAATGGTTGGGTTTGTTAGTATTATATTATAAGCCTCCTCTTGGTAATTGTAAACCTCTGTAACCCTCTAGAAAGGAATATCAGTGTCATGGTTGACTGATTCCCTAGAAGTTTCCATTACTCTTTGCACTCGCTAGACTGCTTTGACCACAACCCCAGCTTGATTAGAATCAGTTCCCACCCAAAACTAAGCTTTTAAGCTTTGCTAGAAGCTAGTGAAAAGAGGCATGGCTCAGAGACTGGCTTTTGGATGCCTTCCACCTTACATCTCTTGGAGGCGAACCAGCACTTGCATAAGCAGTACTCTCATCGGACACTTTGCACCTCCTGTGTCTTGCGCATGTCATTATTCAGCCCTTCTCTTAACTTTATAATGCGGCTTCAGTTCTGGAGCTTTGCATTTACTGTGGACACATCTATTGCTTTTCCTTTGCCTGATTTTTGTACTGCTGAGACATTGCCAAAACAAAACCATCCCATTTTTCTGCAGATTGATTATCCAGATGTATATGGCATGGATTCCTTAGTTGTTTTTCCCTCTGGTCTGAATAGTTCAATTTAGACTAGAGTAAACCTGGATAGGAGTGTTGCATCAGTGGTAGTTGTGTGATTAGGAAGAAGTCTTGTGTTAGCAGCTCAGGTAGTCACTTTCTTAGTCATTGGGTCTCTTTTCAAGAGAGAAAACCTGGGAATAATGCTGATGATGAATAGTCTGTTTTTGATCCAGAAGTGCCTAGCCTCAATTGTAGATATTATCATACTGAAAAACAATGGCTTGAGTCTATATTCAAAAATTGCTCCAAGAACAAAAATAAAATGGCTTGGAGTTTGTAGTTCTTTGTAAAACATAGTTGCCTGTCAGTGTCACAGCTGAAAGGTAGCTTTCTTTCAACCATGTGAACATTGACATGCTTCACAGCTTACTGAAACCATGTGAGGCTTTGCTTTGCTGATGAAATGTCTGTATAACGCTGATGTTGCAGTTGAATTATCACTTGCGCTGCTCCTCAGCTAATTTCACAAACTGAGCACATTGCCTCAGTATGGAAATGATCACGCCAGCCAAACAGATTCCCTTGCCCCACCCATCCCAACTATGTATAATAGCTTTCAAAATGGTTTTCACTCTCATCTCCAGAAGGAAACTTATTTGTCTCTGTTAGCAGATTTGAGTACAGTAACAGCATAAAACAAATCCCACAAACCCATGCACAAACAAGAATTGGGAGATAAAATCTTGAAATAGAGTAGTTTGGTTACTTCTGTGCTTCTTGTATTTGTATAGGATGTTTTAGAATATTTCATCTCTTTCCTAATTATGAATATGAATCATTATATAATTGATACCGAGCTGCATTGTATAGGATAGCTGAGATTACAACTCTTCTTTGAAACCATCCTTTTAACATTTGTACACTTATTGTTTAAAGCTCTTCGTTTGCATGATTTCAGTTGCCTTTATTTATTCCAGTAACCCTGCAAGGCAAGTTAGTGGTGGTAATTAATTTCCATATGCAAATTTGGAGAAAAAGGAGTTTGAGAAAGAGAAACAGTTGAATATTGGCTAAGCCATATTTCACGTATATGAATAACTCCCCCCCCCTCTATATATATATATGAATATGAGTCTTCCTAAGCCCTTCCTTATTCATCAAAAGCTCTTCTCTGGGGTCTTCATACTGTGCGAAGTCTCGATTGGTTGTGATCAGTGAGAAGCCTTTTTCTGGGTAGTGACTCATACGTTGAAAGGTTTCTGTAAAGAATCTTTCTAAACTAGGTAGTTTTAGGTTGTGGTTTAATAGCCATCTGGATTTTATTGTGTTTGTATGGTTTTTATATTACTTTATGGTTTTACATAGTTTTGTTTTATTTGTTTCATTAATCTGACAGCATTGGGGCCACTGTTAATGTATCATTTTATAATTTATTAAATAAAAGAAAAAGGTCACTTCCAAAGTACACGGTGGATGGGAAATAGCATTGTCTTGCAGTTAAGGCTCTTAATCACTGCAGTTGTTTGCTATATAAGAAGGAACTCTGTAGTAGAGCTGTTTCATAATTTATGTTTTTCTATACATATCTTTATTTTGATCTGATAGCTCAGATATTGAATAACTGCTCCCTTGCCTCTCCCACTACCAACTTCATAATTCTGGAAGATGTAGAGATTTGTTCGCATCATCTAAATATTTGGTTAAAAGCTTCATGGATTTAGCCATTGCTGAAAGTTTGCATAAATTAGCTTGAATTAGCATTATAAAGTAATGCCATAATAACAATCATAGTATAATAAAACAGCAAATTAAAAAAGACATAAATATGCACATGTTGAAAACAACAAGATTGCATAAGATTATAGGCCTTAGTATAACATCTGAAAACAACTTCTATTCATTCTTGCAGATAAGACATTTGAATCCTTGGTAGCATCTAGCCTTCCTTCTGCTTTCTCTACTTTATTTGGTAGTTCTTATGTTACACTAAATAACGAATGTGCATAACTGCTGTGAAACAGTCTGAGGATTAAAAAATTGACTTTCCCCTTTTAAAAATGTACTTGCATTGATGCAGGTTAGCTCAATTTTTTGGACATGTAAGTCCAAGATGTGTTAGTTCATATCTAGTATACTGTCATTTATTTATTTTGTTAATTGTGCCTTTATGTTTTTTTACAGCTACTACTTTTATATGTGTGATAAAATGATCGCTCCCAATGTCTCCCTTACCTCTCCTGTATCTCACTGTAAAGAACCAACAAAAACAGTGGAGAAAAGTTCAGAGGTAGTTAAATCTGCATCTGGGCAGTCACTGAAGCACCATAGTGGTGGCAGACGCAAAAAAGCCGTGTACTATCAGGATCACTCTCTTGAAGTGCAAGAGAATGTTGATTTGAAACGCAGCACAGATGTGTGTGCTGGTAAAGGTGAGTAGAAAAACGATACTTATGACTGATCCTTGTATACATGCGGTGCTTTCAATATGGATTTTTAAACATCACTCTCCCTATCTTTTTAATCCTATTCCTATAGGGCAGCCTACAGCTCTTAAGACTCGAAACAAAAGGAAATCAGAGCAAGAGTCTTCCAAAGCGACTATGGAACAGAAGGTAGAAGTAAGCAAAGGTTCACAGTCATCATCTCAGATCCCTGTCAGTGGAATCCATTGTGATGATGACAAAGGAAAGACGATGGAAGAAGTAATGAAAACCTATATAAAGCAGCAAGAAAAACTACATACAATTTTGCAAAAGAAGCAGCATCTTCAAATGGTATGGAATGAACTTGTTTAGCTTTTCTTTTGCCTTTTGAAGACTGCTTGTTACTCAACCTTTTCATGATAGTTTTTGACATACAGTAAATACATAGCATAGATATTATAGACGGTGGATCCTAAACGGTGTTAGGTTCTGCATTTCAGTGCAATGTATTATGAACTGATACAATCCTGAAATTGTTGCTTTGATTTCCCACATATACAGTTAAAGCAGTTTTCAGTAGGGATAATTTATTCTGTTCTCGAAGCTTGAAATCATTCACGTTAATCCTGCAGTTTTTTAGCTGCATCTGTACTGGAGTGGGAATGAGGAGAAGCCAAGATCCGTGGAAATGTTTCTGTCCACTGTTCATGATGTAGGCTGTTCAAAAGTCATAAAAAGGATTACAACAAAAGAGGATCATGAAATTGTGTCCAAAAATTAGTCATTATTAATTTCCATAAGAACCAGGAGGGAAATTAAATAATATCTGGTGCTGCCCGTCTTTCCCTTTGTTGGAAACATAAATACGCAACAAACATATTTGAACAAGTAACTGTAAACATGCACAACTTAATTGTACTAATGATTAGTTTTAGAAGTTTATTTATATGGCTTATTTAACTGAAGCCTCTTGCATTTCGATGGTTCCAAAAGACCACAACCCCCTTCTCATCAGCCTTTTAGTTACTGCTGTATTGCTTTCTTCAATGTTTGATAAAATCTCTTAGTATTTCACTTAGTATTAGTATTTAATACACAGCAACAACCTTGAATTCATGCAATCTTGATAAGAAATGGGATGGAGAAATGAAAAAGGAATTGAAGAACCAGGGAAAAGTAATAAAGATGTAGTTGGAGATTAAAACAGATGAAAAACATAGAACTGAGTCTAGATGAGGCTGTAGAAAAAGAATTATCCTGTGATAATAGCATCCCTAGGTGTTTGCTCAATTTTATACTTATGTATTAAATTAGCATGTTAAATGAGAATGAAATTATTTCTGCTGCAAAGGATTAAGGGCTTAATTAGTGCTCTTATCTTTGTACAAGCTCTCATCAATGTTTGTATTTACTTTTGTATTGAACCCTTAACAAAGGAGCCTTTCCAATGCTTGAGTGCCTATTAAATATTATACTTTTTGGGAAATGGTGCACATTTCTCAATGTGTTTACTGCTTTTTGGCCATGAGAAATTTCTCTTAGAAAAATATGATAAAAATTGAGCTCTTGGTGGTGCAGCGGGTTAAACTGCTGAGCTGCTGAACATGCTGACCAAAAGGTCAGCGGTTCGAATCTGGGGAACTATGTGAGCTTCTACTGCCAACCTAGCAGTTCGAAACATGCAAATATGAATACCGTAGATCAATAGGTACCGCTCTAGCGGGAAGGTAATGGCGCTCCATGCAGTCACATCAGCCACATGACCTTGGAGGCATCTATGGACAATGCCAGCTCTTCAGCTTAGAAATGGAGATGAGCACCACCTCTCAGAGTTGGACATGACTTGACTTAATGTCAAGGGGTGCAGCAGGTTAAACTGCACCCCTTTACAGGTTAAACTGCACCCCTTTACAGGTTAAACTGCATCCCTTTACCTTTTAAAAATGAATATGATTAATACGTTGAAAAAGCATTAAATGAAAACTACGTAGGCTAAATCAGGATCCCAAACTGTGCCATGAACCAGGAGCAAAACCTGGATATAACAAGAGATGGTGCAGCCAGTGGGCAAAAACAAAGCATTCTTTAAAAATAGGCCAAAAATAATTTTAAAAATCGAAGTCATCATGAAACAACATAATTTTACTGCCTTTCAAAATCTCAGTGCAGATGGAGCCAACCAGACTTTCCTTGGCAGGGAGTTTCACAGTTGAGGGGCTGGTATAGGGGAAAATACATCTTGTGTAGCTAAAAGCCAAACCTTTCGTGCTACTGAGACGTGCAGCAGGGCCTCTGATGAAGATCTCACTTCAGAGGCAGGTTCATACAAGTAAAAACATATTTGAGATACCTTGGCCTGAAGTTGTATGGTGTTATATAGGCCAAACTCAATGCCTTCAATTGATTTTGGAAACAAATTGGAAACCAATGGTGTTGGCTCAGAATAGATATTATATGATTTTTACACACATCCTGTACCCTCTTCCCCCCCCCCCCAAAGACAAACAAACAAACGATGGCCACATTTCCGTTATTGTAGATTTTGAATGTTTTCCAAGGGCAGTGCTTTGTTGCCCCCTCCCCCAATTGTCCCAGATTATAATGAAGAAACACCAATATGCTGTTAAAATATATTAGGTATGAAAATAATGCATATGGGCTAAATGTATACAGAGATGTTTTAAAAGAACTCATTTCTGTGGAAGTAAATGTAGCAGTAGAGTTCTCTAGTGATTCAAGAAAGCATTTAAAGCCGATATGTAGCACCAGCTTTTCTTCATCGCAGTTTAGTTCATGGAATCATAGAGTTGGAAGAGGCCACAAGGGGTATCCAGTCTTAACTTGCTGCCATGTAAGATGGCCATCCAGGCACTTTTTACAAACCTCCAGCGAAGGAGACTCTGCCACACTTTGTGGCAGGATATTCCACTTCTGAACAGACATTCTTCATAATGTTTAGATGGAATATTTCTTTTCCTGCAAGTTATTTATTAATTTATTTACTATATTTATATATTGAAAGTCAGGAGGGAAGGGGCTGATCTAATATCACTGGGAAGGGAGTTCCACAGCTGAGGAGCCACCACTGAAAAGGCCCTGTTTCTCGTCCCCACCAACCGCACCTGCAAAGGAAGCGGGACCGAGAGTAGGGCCTCTCCAGATTATTCAATCCCCGAGATGGTTCATAGGGGAAGATACGTTTGGACAGGCTAGCTGGGCCGGAACCATTTAGGGCTTTATCGGCTTTATAGTTGAAACCATTGCTCCATGTTCTCCAGAGTAGCAGAAAACAAACTTGCAGCCTCCTCAATGTGACATCTTTTCAGATATTTAAACATGGCTCTCATGCCTCCTCTCATCTGCCTTTTCTCCAAGCTAAACACATCCATGTCCCACAGCTCTTCCTCATAGGGCTTGCTTTCAGTGTATCTGATTTTTGAGGACATGTAAATCTAAGAAACTGTGCTCAAATTTGCTTTTTATTAGTCCTTTATTCCAATTTTGTGCCATGGCTTTTATATGTCAGTAAGGGTAGAAATTGCCCTGTTCTTTTATTGATCTGTGAGATGCTCTGGATGGAGATGTAAAGGCTTAGGGATAGAACAGGAGGGAAATTAGGGTGGACATGTTTTTCAGTTTTTTTCCTGAGTTTGAAAACCTTGGGAAACCTGTAAATCAATTGTAGTGAAATATTTTATCTTTTGAATTAACAAACAATTTTACTGGCTTAAAAGGCAAAGAATTGAATTGTGTAAAGATTTCTGTCTAGGTGTAGAGAATGGCAGTACAAGTGCAAACTGTAGTTGCATCCATTTTTGTATTAGAGGGTGCTTCCAGCTTCAGGAAAGAAGTATGCAAAAGGGTTTGTGTGGGTGAAAATGTGTGTAGATGATGCCACTACTGAAGAATGGAGTATTTTCCATATGGAGTAAAACTTTATATCCAATTTTATTGGTACTTAGCAACTGTGACTATATGAGACTGTGGGTGGATCTATCCTACATTGTAAACTTAGTTTGACACCACTGTAACTACTACAGAAGGTATAGTATGGTGATTCACTATCACTATGTGTAAGAAAGGCTAAGACCTGGTAAAACTACAGCTCCTGTGTTTCTATAGCATAGAACCATGGCAGTTAAAGTGGTGACAAATTCCATTAACTCTACAATATAGATGCACCCTGTTTCTCACTAAATAATATATTTTCTTTTATTACAACATTTGTGACTATTTTATTTGTCTTTGCCCCACTTCTCAGATTACAAGTTTTAATGTTTGTGGATGAAGCACACCATGCAGGGTAGCTTCTGCAAAATGTGTAAATTTACATTAGTTGGTGTGGAAAATGGCCTAAGTAGCTAATGGAGCCTTTTAATGCTGTATTACTGAAATGTTCCACGCACTGAACAAATTGTACTTGTGTATTTTTGATACACTGTCAGCATTGAAGAAACTGAAGGTAGCTATTACAGTCTGTAATAGTGTCATATTTTCAATTTTTCTTAAATAAAAGCTTCAGGGCATACCAAATTTATCTGTGTTTTCAAGGCATGCCACAGAATTTGCATTGTGAAAATGTTAGCAATCCTCAGGTTTTAGAATATGGAATTTTTTCTTATTTGTCTAATATAGAAAATAATCTGTATAACTGTAATTTTCTTTACAGGAAGTAGAAATGTTAAGTAGTTCAAAAGCCATGAAGGAGTTAACAGAAGAGCAGCAGAATTTACAGAAAGAACTTGAGTCTTTGCAGACTGAGCATGCACAAAGAATGCAAGAGTTTTATGTTGAGCAAAGGGACTTGGAGAAGAAATTAGAGCAGGTAATAAAGCAAAAATGCACCTGCGATTCTAACTTGGAAAAGGACAAAGAAGCAGAATATGCAGCTCAGGTGAGCAGAAAATATTAATTTCAACTGAGTAGTGGAATGCTTTTTTGTTAATCACCTATGAATTGTCGCTAAAATAAAATACATGGAATATGATATTATGTGCTTTCAAAGTACAGCTGAAGTTTTAAACAGAGAAACAATTCATATTTTTAAAGCCAGCAAAGCTAAGCATGGCACAGGTGGATCTCCCTTATCTGAAATAACTGAAGTTTTTCGAAAAGTGGATTTTAAAAAGGATTTTCAAGTACCCATTTTTGCATATATGTACATAGTGAGTGAGAGATTGGGGAAATGGGGGTTAGTCACACATCCAGTATCCACAAAGCACTCCTTCTAGGAGACCCTCTCCATTGCAGCCAGAAATCAATGGGGGAAAGGGAGGAGGACTCCACTTACGAAAAATATCCAAGATATTTCCTAGTTGTCATCACACTTTCTGCCCTTTTTGCAAAGTATCCCGGAGGGGAGGGAAAAATCCTTCCCAACTCCTGTCCCCAGTAGTCTTTTTTATTCTTTGTGGGCTGTATAGAGCTGGTGGCAAATGAGTTTGTTCCATACTCGTCCTTGCAGCCTGTTTCAAAAGTGCCTGTTCCTGTGCTTGCCACCATTGGCCCCTTTCCCCAAAGGCATAAATGAATGGCCAGCAGCAAAACGTTTCTATTTTTGGAGCAATTTCCAATTTTCAGATCAGTGAGGCACGACCTTGTATTAACATAATTTTGTATAGGCAGTTGCATGGTTGCAAAGAATTGGCTTAATATTATTGGATTGTAGGTGACATAATGTGAGCAAACATACACTCACGCGCCAGGACTTCTTCTCTTCACTATGACACCATCTGCTCTAAAACAGTCCTCTGCATCTGTACTCAGATGTTAATCCTATGTCCAGTGACAATGCTCTCAAATCAGGGTAGGACTGCAGCATTGGAAATCCAGAAAATGTAATTTTGTACAATTAACAGAATCCCTGTTTTTCCTCCTGCACTGGCCAGTCTCAATTTTTTTTGTGTTTTTAGTACCTTATGTAACACATTCATTGTGCCAGGTACTTTGCAATTCTTAATTCACTAATCCTTACTTCACCCCAAAAGAAGGAGAACTAAAGATGACAATCTTCTGGAAAAAATAGTCAAATCCAGGATTTGAATAAGTTTTTAATCAGACCGTAGTTATATCCGCAAAATAAACTTACTTTAAAAAAAAACCTGTGCTCTTTTTGACTGTAAGATAAAATGAGGAAGTACATATTCATACTTTTTCTGGTGTCTGTCCATATTGTTCTTTTAGTGTAAGTGCCACACTACACTACACAGTTATAAAAAGAAGTTAAACCCATAGGCACAGTTTAATAATTATAATAATACTAGACACTATCATCATGACTGCATTTCATTTTGGTTAACTTCCATATCATCTCAAGCATATTACTTGGAAGTAAGGGAGAGTTTACACAAAGGCTTAATCATATTAGTTGAGGGGCATGCAACAGTGGAAGACTAGGGGGTTGCTTTAGTCCTCCAGGAGACCTGAACCTCCAAGAAAACCCAACAATATTTTTGTCCCCAAAGCCATACTGGAAAGTATGTTTTGGGGGTTTCCCAGGTCTCTGGAGAATGTTTTCAGACATTTTGAATCAAGTTTTTAAATATACTTGTGTGTACACACACATACACACACAAAAAAGTATTTTTACCCCTGAGGTGTCCGCTAGGGTGGTGGAATTGTGGTGGAAATGCCTTCCACATCCTCTAAAGCAGAGCTTCGTAAACCTTTCTACTTCCAACCCCTTTTTGCCTGATCATTTTTTTATGTGACCCCAGGTATATAGGTATAAAAATATGTATAAAAATCAAACATTTACTGATAACAAATCAGCAAATTTCCAAGGCTTGCTAAACAAATTTTCTTAAACTGTGGGTTCCAACTGCAAATGGGGTCTCCTAGCTCAGTGTTGGGGTCACAAAAAATTGACAACAGTAAAAGATTTCTGAACACCACCTAGACATTTACACAAACCTGTTAGCAACAACATGCAGTGTTTACGATGGACTCTGCAGAAATTCCTTCATTTGTACTTTATAGAAAGGAAGATCAGCCTGTTTAGCAAGCCTTGCAAATGCTGATACGTTATCAGTTAATGTTTGATTTTTATACTTATTTTATATACCTATTTACCTGGGGTCACAAAATGTTGGGGTGAAAAGGGGTCGCGACTAGAAAAGGTTTTAGAAGCTGTGCCGTAGAGATAATTTTTGGCTGTTTCAGTGTACAGGGTTGGGCAAAGAGCAGGTTGCACTTCACCCACCTGTGTGTCATCTGAGGTGATTCCCTTCCCTGCCTTACTGAGAACAGGAATTTCCATGTATTAAATGCCTGTGTGACTGTTATCTGCTCTGCAGTAACGTATTCCTTCAGGACAGGTGGATTACAAAACTGGAGGTTTTTTTGTTGTTGCATTAAGCTCATTATATATAGGAAAAGGCTGTGTGTACTGTAGGGTCAGTCCAACACTGCTATGTGAGTGACCACACCATTTGGGCAGGCATATGCTGTTCTCTAGCCTATTAATTTCAATAAATTTTCTTTCAAATAAGTATACGTGTGATTACATCAGTAGCTTGTTACCCATCATTTAACGATAAGTATAGGTATGCTATTACAGCCTGGCTTAGACAGTCTGTGTTTCTCCAGCCCTGTTTCACCATCCTCCCAATGCCAAGACTGCCAGACAGCCTCACAGCAGGATAAAGAAAAAAGGGGGGGTTGAATAACCATAAAAAAGTTTTGCAAAAGGGAGCTCCTTTGTCATAAGTTTTGTTAATTGAGGTCTACAGTATTAGAAATACCTTCTAGCATACTAGTGAAATGTGCAATCCTTTCATATCTCTGCTAAAATCCTGTTCTATTTATACTGAAGCTCTCCACTAGATGGCTACAATAGCTCATTGATTCCAGAGGAATCTTGATTCACATATTTCTTTTTAAAGTAATTTTTTATTGATGGGGAAAAAAACACAAATGATTTTTAAAGGTATATAAATTTAAAAACTATAGAGCTACATACTGCCTAGTTCTACAAGACACAACTAAAGAATGAAAACAAATGCAGCTATAGTATGTAAAATCTCAATTAAAAACATATGACCCTAAAATTAACTAAATACAAGTTGCACATATGTGTGTGTGTATTTTAAAATGTACATATTCAGTTAAAAAAACAATGAAACAAAACTTTATACATGAATATATACCAGTGCAATACTACCTAAAATTTATACAATACAGATAGTCCCCAAGTTACTAACAAGATGGGTTTGTTCTTAAGATGAATTTGTTTAAACTTAAGATACATTTTAAGAGTAACTCCAGCCAGATAGATAGATAGATAGATAGATAGATAGATAGATAGATAGATAGATAGATAGATCAGCTTTGGATATCATAGGGAAGGGTTAACACCCCTATGGAGTTTGTTTTGCTGTCTGTGCCTCTGCTTAGTTGCTTTCAACACATCCATAGTTTGTGATACTTTAGACCAGGCATGGGCAAACTTCGGCCCTCCAGGTGACTTGTACTTCAACTGCCTCAGCTTATACTCGCATATATATGGCAATTTCTGTAGAATGACATAACTGGAAGTAAATGTGGACTTTATGATTCAGGGTTTCTTACCCTCTCAGAATTAGCAAGAGCTTTCAAATCAGGGATGTTGTTTTGGAACAAAATGTTTTTTGTGAATATCCCAAGTATATTGTTCCAACAACAAATATTTATGTTTTATTGAGTTGGATGGATGGATACACACATTTTGAAGTTTTAACTTTTCTTTTTAAAAATTGCAGTTGGCAGAGCTGAGACAGCGGCTGGATCATGCTGAAGCTGATAGGCAAGAGCTCCAGGATGAACTGAGACAGGAACGAGAAGCACGACAAAAGTTAGAGATGATGATAAAGGAGTTAAAGCTTCAGATTCAGAAGTCTTCAAAAAATGGCAAAGGGAAATAAAGTGCCAAGAAGAATGTATCTGCATTTTTTCAGCAGGGCTTATATATTACTTGTCAAGGAGAAGTCAAGCCATGGAAGAAAAGGTATTGGGGGCAGCTGTGGAGAACCCTTCTTGTGCAAACAACATCAGTGAAGCAGTTATTCAGATCCCAGTCATTTCAATGATGTTTGCACAAGAGACATTCCCAGAGAACTGTGCCCAATGTGTGCTTATAAATCTGTAATAATACACATTTGTACAACTTCTAGACTTATAAAAACCTGTATTTGTGCTGCTTTTTAAACAGTTATGAGCAACATTTGAAACCTTATGTTTTAGAGTACTCAGTGTATGTTTTTACAAACTGTCTTGAGGGCTCTTTACCTTTTATTGAATTCAACTTTCATTCATAGATATGCAGAATCCACATACTTCCTTTTGCATGCAGTCATTTACACAAAATATTCCTTTTATTCAAAATCTTAAAAAAGAAAAAAAATTGAGAATGTGGAGAATATATTCTTTTTGTTGCTTTACTCTTATAACTCCATTTGATAGTTAATGCTGTATCGAGGAAAGAACCGTTATTTGGAAATTATTACACAGTCTATTATTTTTTTTTCTAAATGCAGATTTCCACACAGTTAATTATCAGCTGTCGGATGCTAGTTATTGTTAAATACCAAGTGCCAATTCTTTCGGTAATCTGTTGAATGCTATTATAAAAAGAAGTCTGAGGTGCTTCACTTTCCAAACGTACGAGTTCATCCCCAGACCTGACTGGAGATGCCATAATTGACACTATTTTTTTAGTATTCCCAAATACTAATGGAAATGTCAGCCTTATGTTGTAGAGTGACTATTTTAACCATCAAGCAAGTAGGATGCAATAAGGTTTTCCATGCATGGGTTGTCTTGGAGTGCATGGAAGTGGTTGGTGTTGACATGTACATAAGATGTCAAGAGGGAACAAATGAGTTCTGACATTGTCAAAGTAATGCTTCTATATGTTTTATATGCCAAGGTAAATATTGCTATCATTTAAAAAAAAAGCAATTTAGTTATTAAACTTCTATTAATTTTGAAATTGGTAAGGTCTTTATTGGGGCATCTGACATTTAATGTCCTGGTATTCTGGTGTTGACTAACAAGTAGTTCACTTCCATTGTATTTACTGATTAGACACCAAACAAATGAGGTATATTTGATCAAGGAACCAGTGGCTAAGATACAGTGATGTACTTAATAAAGGAAAGTTCCAATTCCGCTCATGCTGGATGCAAAAGTGGAATTGGGAATGCCTTTTTCAATGCTGTGTGGCACCAAGAGTGTTTCCTAATTCCCAGGAGGAGGTCTTTTGGATTCTTGAGGGGTTGCGGGTAATGTGGTCGTGCTGCTTTTGGTAGAAGCAGCATCCAGCAAAAGTAAGCCATTGGACCCTGGTCATTGGATTAAAGTAGTAATCTAAAATAACTTTCAGACAGAATCTCTTTTGTGAAAAGAACTGTAAAGATTTAAATATTCAAAACAGTTTATTTGGGAGGAGGAAAAGCAGGACTGATTATAAAAAAGGCAAGAAAATTTCCTTAAGTTGAGTATTTTGGTATGAATAGACAATAGTTTAAAACCTCATAATAGCAGTTAAAGGAAAATTGAAGTGTGTGTGTGTGTGAGAGAGAGCAGTGATTTCTAAAGCCAAGTTAAACTTGTAGAGGGGGAAATGCGAGTGATAATTCTACAAGTTACCATGCAGCCCACCATGTTCCTCAATGAAAACAAAATTCACCTCCAAATGGAAAATCATGCCTTCACCTTTCTTTCTCTGCTCCCAAACTGCAAGTGATGATCTGGTTACTTGTAGTCTTGGAAAAGGTGTAAATATAACCTGCAGACATCTGGAGGATGGCAGAAATTGGTGTCATTGTATATCCAGATATCCTACCTTAGGCATTATATGTGACTAATAGCATAAGAACATGTGTGGGGAGGCACAGGTCAGTATAGATAGAAATGGGGATATCTATAAATGAGAAGCACTGCAGACAATAATGTTCATTTATATATTCATCACATGAGCACTTACATCCTGTGATTTCCATGTTGTGAATGCCTGCTATATATGCATGTTGTGGAAATTTTATGGTAAAATCGTCTTATACCCAACGTTTTCTGTTGTATAAGGACCATTTCATACAACCACATCTTTGTCCTTTTAATATATTAGTTATGCTAAGTTATATCATCAGTTTTTAACTATTCAGTTCTTATATCTGTCTACGTTAACAAAATAAATTAACAGTTTCATAATGTCTACAACATATGTACATAGAGAAAATAAAGCAATTGAGGCACCTTGCAAAACAAAAGTGTAACTGTAGGTCTAAAAATATGTGTAATATCTGCCGAGTTTCTCTTGTGGGAAATTCTACATGTCAAACTCCATCTTGTTTTGTGAATTTTTCATTTTGCTTTGGCAAGATCCGTAGTGCCATCCCTTGCCAACTTCTGGTATGCACAGATGCTCATGTCCCTTCAAAAATCCTAGGTCTTGGTAGCTTAGGGCTTTCAATGTCCAAATCAAGATTCTGGATTTTGCTTGGAAATGACTGGAAGCCAGTTAGACTCTTGCAACAGCAGTGGTATACTGTGTGTATTGGGCCTCAGTTAAGCTGCTTCAATCTTGAAGCAATTTGACATTTTCAGGCAGTTTTCAAGGGCAGCCTTATCTAAAGCACATCGTAGAAATCCATTCTGTACAATATCAGACCATGTAAGGAAGTACTGAGGACCTTCTCCTCCAGAAAGAGGTGCATCAATTGAAGCAGATGAGAGGCACTCTTACCAACTTGCTGCATGAAAAGTCCTACTACACATACTGATCAAGAAATATTTTCAAGTTTTAACCTTCACATTCATGGAAAAGTATAACCCCTTTAAGAAATCTACAATCATCGGGTTGTCTCAGCTTTCAGGTGTAACTGTCAAACTATCTAGGTTGAGCTTGTTCCTTTCAACCAGTCTAGTATAAAGGAGAAGTAGAAGTCAGTGTCACCACTCTGAAACTTTTGCATGTAGATGATGGGTACCAGGCGGAATAGAATATAAACAGCAATAGTGAAACCTTAATCTGATTACTTCTCAGTGCATCCATCTTCTTTGTGTTACAATCACAAAATCTTTGGGTTGGAATAGCATATGCTCAAATCTTAGATGGTAGTCAGTAGTTGAAATAATTTCATTTACATTTCGCAAAATGTAGGTCCTCCACTACTCTTGATTAAAATGTCAAATGCTTTATGTATCCGGACTTCACGTGTTTCTTGTTAATGGGATGAACAAAAACAATTTTATATCCTTTTGGAATAACTTACAGTTGTAGTATATTTGTCATCTCTGTCTCCTATTTCAATAACTGAACAGTTCTGTTGCCAGAACAGCTGCAATTTATTGACCAAATATATTGCTTACATGTTGGAAAGTTAATTGGTGTTTTGGCATCTTTAAATAGCACAGAATCCCAGCTTCAAAAGTTTTCTTTTCCCATTGAAGCAAACATTACAATTTTGTTAATCGTTACATCTGAATCAAACAATCATCTTTCAGTGCTAGACCTGTCAGTTTCATTTGAAGTGCATATGAACAATAGCTACTTTTGAACTGTATGTATGTATGTTAAACATATGTTTTCTTCTTTAACACATGTGTAAATTAGAGAAGAAGCAGATTTGAGCATAATCCAAACCTTTTTTTACATTGTTAGTTATCCATAGGTGAAGCATTGCATCTTCTGCTATTTCTGTGTTCAAGGTATAACTGAGAAGCTGAACTGAACTGATGTTTATGGGTCATTGCATTTTATCCTAGAATTTATGAACAGGTGTTTAGAAACAAAAGCTATCATGGGTTGTCTTGATTGGTGAAGCTCGAAATTTCTGAAATCATAAACACAGGAATGTACTGTGTTGCAAACAGCCATGGTTCAAAAGAATTTGACATGTTGAAATCAGTAGGTGTTTAAACACCTTTCATTGTGTTGAATGATAGTGTTTTTATTGGATATTACAGACAGACGGCAACTTTTTAATTAGAGGTTCTGAATCTGAAAATTTTGTAAAATTTGGTAGGAGGAATAGTACTTGGCTGAAGACAATATTTAGCTTCTCTTATGTATAGTTTTGATTATCTCAGGAGACATTCTCTGATGTCTGACAAGTATTAACCAGATCCATATCTTTATTGGCCAACAACCATTAGCTTATTGCAACAGTTGGAGAAATTACATTGCTAATAGCTACCCTGTAACTATGTTGTCTGGCTCAGACCTTTTTAACAGCAGTCAGTGTAATGTTTGAACTGGCTTTGAAATGTGTGTGAGAACAGAAAACATTTTACAGTAATTCTGTCACAAGTTACCAAAAATCATCAAAATTTTCACATTTAAATAGGAAATCCTTTCTCAATGTCATTGCAATGGAATGCTTTCTGCCCTGGTTTTTCATTGGTTCTGGAGAAATGGTTTCAAGTGGAGTATGTTTTGGAGTCCAGTTAGAATTTAACTGTTTCCACATCCAAACCAGTGGCAGTAATTTTGGCTAAATTTTGGAAAAATAAGTTTGTGATTATAATGATATGTGAAAGAGCGAGTGTTATGTTCATATTTTATATCTCCAAAGAATTTATAGACTGAACCACATACCCACTTTTAATTAAAATTCATAATTGTAATGCTTACCTATAAATCAATTCATTTCAGCCTCCTTTACACAATACTTATTAATACATAGAACTGTGCCATAGGTGTCCATTATCACCAAAAATAGTTTTCTAGTAAATTGTAAATATTCTATGTTTTACAGAAGTAGTTTCTTACATTGATCTCGTAACATGACGTATTTTATGGGTGATATACTCCACTGCCTATATAGCTTGAATTCCAAGACTTTGCCCATTTACAGAGGTTTATTACAAATTACCCTGTCCACCAACTTTACCCTTATAGCCTTAGCATGTTCATCCTGTATGTTAATTATTAGAGAATACTTTTAAAAATTAAAATTATCACCTATGTGTTCACCTTTTAGATGATAGATTTGTTTCTCTAATTATCCTCTCCATTAAAGAGTTTTTAAAACTGCAATTAAGGAATGCCTGGCAGAGAGACTGCCCTGAGCACTTTTAAACAAGAACATCTGTTTCTTGGCATCCCTGTTTTTAATTATTATTATTATTATTATTATTGCTAAAATGGTTTTGCCAGAGTGGAATTCAAGAAGAAAATACTTCCATCCCCTTCCCCTAGCCTAAGGCCACTGCTGTCCATCAGCCATCATCCAGACTGGTTCAGTGTGCCACAAGCACAAACAACTAGAACTATGTGCAGAGCAAAGCAGCACATGATCTCATCCCTACGCTCAAATGATATACCTCACGCCATGCATATAAATCATATAGAAATTGGTAAAGTTTTCTGACCTTTCTTTAGAAGACAAGCTAGAAATTATATTAATGGGGCACACTAATGACATGAAGCTTTCTTTTTCCCCAAATAAGTAGCTATGCTTAACTTTCCACACTAATTATGATAGACAATTTCATGTACTGGAGCCCAATTGAATTTCAGCCCATCATACTCTAATATGCCACAAGGCTTTGCATTCAGTTTCTTAGTATTACAATTTCTTCCTGTTTACTGAACACAAGTAAAATGATAGATATTGAGACTGCGAAATCATAATAACGCGATGGTTTGCATTTGCCCTTTACAATGACTACATATATGCAAGGGGAAGGAGTTTAGTTTCATGTCTGAGCTATGCAGAAGACAATAACTGAAGAAATTAGTTCAGCAAGAAATGTGGAAATCAACTCTTACCATTGTGGTTAGCCCTAAGGACTTTCTTGAACATTGGATTAAGCAAGATCTCAAAATGGGCTTTGGACGAGTTGTGCTGTTCTTTTTGTTAGGTCTTATATCACTTTGCTTGAGTATTTGAAATAAAGATAGTAGTTATGGGGTATATTTTACATTCTTGGATTAATTTTATTATATATTTAATATATTGATAGTCGTAGACTCTTTTGTATATAGTCAAGGTATCACAATGCAGTCCTTGCCGTAAAGCTATGCTATGGGGAGTGCTACTGCGAAGCAGTTTGTCTATTCCATGCTGCTTAGTCTCATGGTCATGGAACCATTTGTACTATCTTCAATTTGAAATAGCAGCACATTCAGTGATGACAGCTATTGTGGATGGCTTAGTGCTACATCTTAGAGACATTTTCATAGGACTAGGTAGCTGAATTCAAGACGCTTTCCAAATCCACTCCTTAAATTTCTTTTAACCATTGGAAAAGCATAAATGTAGATTTCCCTCCACAGAAAAAAATGTTATTCTTTTTCTAAAGCTGATAATATAATGCAACAAAACACTTTAAAACATGTTAATCTGTGCTTGAAATATTTCAATTTATGCTGCAGCTGTAAAATATCTGTCCAGGAAGAGGCAGCTTGATCTCTTAATTATACTTCCTAGAACTTGTTCATTCAATACATCTGTGGTAATGCGAGGCAGTCCATACTGGATATATTTTGGTTTTTTGGGAGGGGGATCGCAGATGTCCTCAATTATAAAGTTAGAAGTCAAACTTTTTCCAGACTGCACAAATGTACTTTTAGTACGTCCACAATTTAGAGGATAGTTTGGATTTTACAGTGCTGTGGAATCTTTAGGTTGTGAAATATATATTTTCCCAAAATGAATATCCAGTGAAGTAGAGCAATCCATATTATTACTTCAAATACCTCACTTTTATGAAAAGGGAAGCACAGTTGTATCTAAACCATTCTGTTGAATATACACAAATAACTGGTCTAAATGTTCTGATGCAGCTATGTTGCCTTCCAGAATAAATAGGCTTGTGACTGACATCATTCTATTTTGTGTGTATTCAGGATGTGTTTGAAAGTATTTGTTGATGCTGACATCTTAATATTTCCACAATCTAGAGGAACATATGACCATATTTTGTGTGCTCCGTTGAGGTCTGCAACATGTTTGTTACACAGCATTTTCCTCATGCCATGTAGCAAATCATTCAAACGTGTACGTCATACACAGAAGTCCATGGACAACTTCAAAAAGTACATTTCTAGATTGTGACCAAAATCTTTAAAGACTAATTTATAAAGTAAAATTTATAAACACAAAGAAAAGGTTTTACAAACAATCAAAGCAACAAGTGAGTAGAAAAACAACAACATATGCCTAAGACAAACAGTTTGGTGAAAACCAAAAGTTTTCAGTTTTTTTTTGCCAATGATGTACAGTTCTACAGTTGGAGTTGCTGTGGTTGCATTACATGACACAAAACTGTCCTCTACCTCATATGATACAAAAACAGATATTTTGTATGGTTTTAGTAAAAACAAGATGCATTTATCTGGTCACTTAGTTTACAAATTTTGAATTCTATTTATTGAAACATGACATACTGTGCTCTTAGCTTATACCTCAATTGTATTTTGTGCAGTTTTCCATTTTTCATGCATTGTAAATATCCTGTATAGATTGTGGATCCACATTCAAATAAACAATTCTAATGTCAAGCACCTCACCTTTTTGTATTTTGTACATGTATTCTTTGACTTGAATGTTTACTCAAAATATTTCTCAATGCCAGCTTTGTGCATTGCCAATGTACCATTCATTTGAGTATTGATATCACAGATCAGCTATTGTAAGGCTGGAGAAAGACAGTAGCTCAAAATCAGTTAGAAGTATTTGACAAAGACATTGCATCCTACTATGCATGCACAATTGTCTTACCCTATATTTCCTTCTATTCAAATAGATATTTCAGGTTTTCAGAACATGGAATATTTGTTTAATGGGGGTAGGTTCTGAATTTCACCATTTAGCAAAAAATGGACAAGAGACTGTAACAATTGTATAGGGGAAAGGGTTCTTTAGGTTGATGGAGATATATGTAACTTTACCTAGCGATGACTTAAGTGAATAGGGAAAAAAGAAATTAAGTTCAATCAAGTATGTGAAATCGTGGGAGATTAAAAATAGAACGATGTACTGCTATACCCATTTCCATGCTTTTCATCTGCTTCTGGGCTTAGGCATGATGAAGCTGTTCCTACCTCTACTTCTTTCCATCTGGAGCCAGAACAGTAGCAATTGGGATGGTGGGAGGGCCTTTCATCTGCTTTTGGGCCTAGGTATAATGGAGTAGTTCCTACCTCTCCCTGACCCAAAGGCAGTTGGGATGGAGTAAGGGCTTTTCATCTGCTTCTGGGCCTACAGATGATGGAGCGGTGCGTGCTTCTACTTCTCTCCCTCTGGAGCTAGGGCAAAGGCAATTGGGATGGTGGGAGGACTTTCTTTAGCTTCTGGGTCTAGGTATGATGAAGCAGTGGCGATCTCTCCCTGTCTCCAAAGCCCAGGCAGTGCCAATTGGGTTGGAGTAAGGGCTTTTCATCTGCTTCTGGGTCTAGAAATAATGAAGCTGTGCCTACCTCTACTTGTCTCCCTCTGGGTCCAGGACATTGACAAGTAGGCTGATGGGAGGGCTTTCATTAGCTTCCGTGCCTAGGTATGATGGAGTGGTTGTTATGAGCTCTAAAAGGTTCCTGTTCTTTTGTGCAGTGTTCAAGGAATAGTAAGGTAGTTTGGACCAATAAAACACTTTAGAGACCAAATTTGGTTTTAACACTATTCATGTAACATTTATTGAAATACAATCATCTCAGAATCACATCAAGAGAGAGCTCTCATACACACACACACACATACACACGCAGGCCTCCTCCGGCGAAGATGATCAGTCTTTTCCAAGGAGGTGCGGTTGCTCTGTTGCCGCGGATCAGGAAGCGTGCATGTTCTTGGGGTCCCCTGCATTTATAGGATAAAATCCATTTTTCTTAAACATGCTGTTCTGTTCTTTCAAGTCCGTTCCAGTTCAGGACATCCTCATTCCAGGCGATATGACTTATGGGGTACCTCCTGCACACTCCTTGCACTCCTTACATGCTCGGCCGCACACCTTATTTTCCATTGTTGTTCAGCTATGCCTTACTGCCTCCTCACTTCGACTGCCAAGTCTGGGCCATAACATGCTTTGCTCAAACTCTACGTTGATTCTTCTTCAGGCCTGTTTCTTCTGCTCTTCTGCATGCATTCAAACATTCCTTACATGATGCCTGTCTCTCCCTGTCTCCCAAGGCCTGGGCAGCAGTGGTTGGGATGGTTCTGGGCTTAGGCCTGCTTCTTCAGTCAGAGACAGTGTAAAAGGGAACATAAGCAGGATGGTGGGTGTTCATAGGTATCCTGCCTTGAAACTCAAATCTGGTTGGACAGATTGACCTTCACACTACCAAGTGACAAGTCATGTCAGGCAATGGACTCCATATGTCTCAACTTATTTGGAAGATACCACAGAGTTTCTCCTGAAAACTTCTCAGAAAATACTATTCCAGCTAGTGTGGATGTTGAGACCCATCACACCACCAATATCTCTACCATGATGGACTGTAAAGGTAAAGGTAGTCCCCTGACATTAAGTCCAGTCATGTCTGACTCTGGAGTGTGGTGCTCATCTCAATTTCTAAGCCGAAGAGCCGGCGTTGTCCGTAGACACCTCCAAGGTCATGTGGCCGGCATGACTGCATGGAGCGCCGTTACCTTCCCGCCGGAGCGGTACCTATTGATCTACTCACATTTGCATGTTTTCGAACTGCTAGGTTGGCAGAAGCTAAGGCTGACAGCGGAAGCTCACGCCGCTCCCCGGGATCGAACCTGTGACCTTTCGATCAACAAGCTCAGCAGCTCAGTGCTTTAACCCACTGCGCCACCGGGGGCTCCATGATGGACTGTAGGACACATAAAAAACACTTCTTCACAGAGCACAGTTAAAATGTGGAATTAGCATGCATAAATTGTGTAGTATGGATGGCAACTAGGAATATATCTTTGATACTTCTTAACCGCCATGGCCCCATCACAGAGAATCTTGGGATTTGTAGTTCTATGCTGCTGCTTAGACTTGTCTTCCAGAGGGCCCTTGTGCACTCCACTAAACTACAGAAAATTTTGCATACATTGCTGAATTATAGATTCCAAGATTGTGTAGGTTGGAATACATAGCAATTAAAGTAATATAAATTGCTATATAGGCAGTCCCCGAGTTACAAAGATCTGACTTACAAATTATTTATAGTTACAAACAGGGGTGAGACTTCAGGAAGTGGGGGAAATCCAGCCCTCAGAAGGGAAATTCACTCCTGAAAGAGTTGTCATGGGGAAGAGTTGTCTTCAGCTGAAGCTTGATCACCAATTCTTGTTTTCACAACAAACCAAATTTTTAAAAATCCAGAGGGACAGAAAGTGAGGTGAAATCTCTGTTCAGACTTACAGACAAATTCAACTTAAGAACAAACCTACAGAACCTATCTTGTTTGTAACTTGGGGACTGCCTGTAATTATATAGTGCAGATAAATTCATGAACAGTTTTAAAAGGGATTATACAAATCATTGGAGATTAAGGTCATTAATGGCTACAGATTAGGTTATCTATGGCCTAAATCCCAGGTTTGTCACAGTAAAAACCTTCTGCATTTTCATTGTCTTCCGATTCCCACCCTTGCATTTGCTGGAATGTGCTGTTAACCTGTGAAAACTGACAATGTGATTTTTTTTTAATCTTCAAGGTGCCACAACAAACACAGCTAGCCTTTGGAAAATAAGCATGAACTTAAAATAAGGAACTTAAAATCATAGAATCATAGAGTCGGAAGGGACCTTGTGGGTCATCCAACCCCCTGCCAAAAAGCAGGAAAATCACATTCAAAGCACCCCTGACAGATGACCATCCAGCCTCTGCTTAAGTCTCCAAAGAAGGAGCCTCCACCACACTCTAGGGCAGAGAATCCCACTGCTGAACAGCGCTCATAGTCAGGAAGTTCTTCCCAATGTTCAGGTGGAATCTCCTTTCCTGTAGTTTAAGCCATTGTTCCGCGTCCTAGTCTCCAGGGCAGCAGAACACAAGCCTGCTCCCTCCTCCCTATGACTTCCTCATACATGGCCCTCATCATGTCTCCTCTCAGTCTTCTCTTCTGAAGGCTAAACAGCCCAGCTCCTTAAACCTCTCCTCATAGGGCTCCTCATAGGGCTCGTGATCATTTTAGTTGTCCTCTTCTGGACACATTCCAGCTTGCCAACATCTCCCTTAAATTGCAATTCCCAGAATTGGACACAGTATTCCAGGTGTGGTCTGACCAAGGCAGAATAGAGGGGTAGCATGACTTCCCTGGATCTAGACACTAGACCCCTATTCATGCAGGCCAAAATCCCATTGACTTTTTTTTTTGCCACGGCATGACATAGTTGGCTCATGTTTAACTTCTCCACAAGGACTCCAAGATCTTTTTCACAGGAAGACAGTGTGTTGCTGTTAAATCAATGCACACAACCACCTGCTTGTTGTCAAGTGTTGCCGACACAGTTATAAGGGATCAAATGATGAGCGGTTGTATGTTAACCATTTCTTTGCACAGCAGGCTTTGCTTACCCAGAAATATTTCCCTTGAGCTGTTCTGTATTATTCATCAGCTTTAAATGCAGTACTAAGAAAATTCCACTGGTGGTCACTAAAAATACACTTTATGGATGGAAGGGAACTCTTTCCCTGGTTTGCTATGCTTTTGTTATAGAATGTTTGTTTGAAGATGGGATTTCTATGCAGTTTTGTTACTGGAACACAGAATTAAATTTAGTTTTCACAACTGATATTGGGAAACAAAGCATTCTTTATGATTTTTTAATAAATTTATTAATTTATTTTCAGTATTTCTACTTGTAGTTTCTCGTGTCAGGAGCGACGAGAAACTGCAAGTCCCTTCTGGTGTGAGAGAATTGGCCATCTGCAAGGACATTGCCCAGGGGATGCCCGGATATTTGATATTTTACCATCCTTGTGGGAAACGTCTCTCATGTCCCTGCATGGGGAGCTGGAGTTGACAGAGGGAGCTCAACCTGCTGTCCCTGGATTCAAACCACTGACCTGTTTGTTAGCAGTTCTGCTGGCACAAGGGTTTAACCCATTGTACCACCAGGGGCTCCATTTTAAAATGGTATGCATATGTTAAATGTGGACATGTTTCAGTGGTTTCATCAGTCACTCAAGAGTTGAGTTTATGTGGAAGAAATATAGGGCATGTATGTGATAAGGTTTTTGTAGTAGTAGAGATTGAGTATTCCTTCTCCAAAATGCCTAGGATCAGACGTGATTTGGATTTAGGATTTTGGAACCTCTTTACATATATAAGCATAAGATATCTCGGAGATGAGACCCCAGCCTAAACACAACATTCATTTATGTTTCAGATACACCTAATACGCATAAGCTCGATGTAATTTTATACATTTTAAATCATTTTATGTATGAAATAAAGTTTGTGTAAATGGAACTATCAGAAAGCAGAAGTGTAATTATCTCAGCCATTTATGTTAACAATTTTGGATTTTCACCTGTAGCATTAGTGCACTTTCAAAGTGAGCATGACTTATGGCAACCCTATCATAGGGTTTTCATGGCAAGATTTATACAG